CAGATCCTGGTTCAGAGTCAGATTCTAGTCTGAATAGGATCATGATCCAAGTCAGATCCTGGTCTAAATAATATCCTGGTCCAAGTCTGATCCTGGTTCTGAATCCGTTAGCTCAGAGCACAGATAAGAATCATTATGGTCTAATCAGAGGAGTCATGTTGAGGAGAGAACTCAACGCAGCTTCTTCGTTTCTCGGAGCTCATCATCATCGTCTTCCTCATTGTTTTTAGGTCTGGGCCACGAGGGCATCTACAGGAAGAACGGGGCCAAGTCCAGGATTAAACTGCTGATGGAAGAGTTTCGCAAAGACGCTCGAAACGTCAAACTGCGGATTGGAGACCACTTCATCGAGGACGTGACGGACGTCCTTAAGAGGTTCTTCAGAGAGATCGACGACCCCATCTTCATGGCTGACCTGCACCCGCTGTGGCAGGAGGCTGCCAGTGAGTTCTGTTAGGGTCCAGGTTTAGAGTTCATGGTCTTTTCCAAGGACGGACTTTAGTGGACTTGTCTCCTATATTTGATACCTTGATTGTAAGAACAGGACATGATGACCTGTAAAACCTGATCTGAACAATGATGGCCCTGATACGTCTGCTGTCGGATTGTCCTGCTGAAACTCCATAGTGTCCTCTAAGACAAAGAGTCTCTCTCACACCATACAAACTTGTTTAGTGGCCACAGGGATCCTGGACGTGTCTTTACGTTGACACGCTTATGTGTCAACTTTAAATCTGCAGATTGCAGTTCTGTCTGTGATATTCACTTAATTATAGATGAATCTGACTCTGTCAATCAGGTCTGAAGCTAAGACAGATTACTGTCCTCCTCTGGACCTGAGACTGAAACCTCCACACAAATGTCCTCACTTCCATACCCCCCCATAGCTTTCTGAAAACATTTGAATGTTCTGTTTCTGATGTGAGAGATTTAGTGTCAGAACTTTGGACTTGTTTGTTTCAGACCTCAGACTCTTCAGTTTAGTCTGAACCTAAATATCAGGTGTGAAGGGTTCCTCAGAGCACCACCTTCATTGTCTCCATTTAAACAGAAAGACTACTACCCCCCCAACTGACAACAAGCCCACGTCAGACGCCGTCTACAAACCAATCAGAGTCAAGTATAGGTAGACGACGCCCACGTAGGTGATGACGACAGGACGTATGTGAGACAAAACTCTTTAGTCCTTAAATTACAATGAGAAACTAAAACTAACAGATCAGATGAAACGTGAACAAACACTTGAAGTTTCAGACTGAATATTAAAGTGTGAACTGTTCCTATGACACAACATGTTTCATGGTTAAATACTGAGTGTCTGTTGTTGAATCAGCTGAACAATACAACTGCTGTGTTGTCATATTTAAAAGTGAGTCTAGAAGTTAAATCAAGTTGAATGTTTATCTCCAGAAATCCCTCAGAAGAGTCAGAGGTTGGACCGTTACAAAGAAATCATCCGGAGTCTCCCTCGAGTCAACAGGACGACTCTGGCTGCGCTCATCAGTCACCTGTATAGGTGAGCTGACCCTGATTCACACCGTAGCAGCTGGATTCAGGGCTGAAGTAGCAGCGCTTGTCCTTTGTCCCCCTCAGGGTCCAGAAATGTGCCGACCTGAACCAGATGTGCACCAAGAACCTGTCGCTGCTGTTTGCTCCCAGTCTGTTTCAGACCGATGGAAAAGGGGTACACGAGGTGAAGATCATAGAGGATCTGATAGACAACTTCCTGTATGTGTTTAATGTGAGTACAGCTGTAACGCAACGTCGCTCACTTTTGCTCTGAGGTTTGTGTTTGTGTTTCACTTTACATTGTGTTTGATTCAGATCGATGAGGAACATCAGACCCAGATCGAGCTGGAAATCAGCCTCATCACCTCCTGGAAGGACACGCAGGTAAGAACCAAACAGTGATCGATGGACGAACACTCACAGATCAGGTCCTCATACGTGTTCATGTGCAGCTGTCTCAGGCTGGAGATCTGATCATCGAAGTTTACCTGGAGATGAAGATACCAGACTGCTGCATCACGCTTAAAGTAAGTGTGTACTACTCTCAAGATGTTTTCAGACCTTAACTAAACCACAGACATGTTCCTGACATGTTCCTGACATGCTCCTGACATGCTCCTGACATGTTCCTGACATGTTCCTGACATGTTCCTGACATG